TGTTTGGAGGCCGCACATTCATTAATTTGTTATTGACAGCGTCTTCATTGTTCACAACTCGATGTGCTACATCTTGGACGTTCAGAATGGTTTTAATGGAATCTTCATAGTTATTGTCTGCAGTTTTAAAATTATTCATCGTTGGAATTAAAACTTCAACGACTTAATAGTTTGATGTTAATAGATTTACATTGCTAACGTCTGAAAAAGAAAAAGGGAATATCATTTCTTCAGATGTATACGATTTATCCAGATTGAATTACAAAAGCCATTACGAATCACAGTATAACATTATTGGAAACTGTGTTTTGGCGTTTTACTTAAGTACTTCTTAATTTTTTGTCGTTTTTGTATTGGCACAAGTCACACTTGAATAAAAATCCATATGTAGGGAAATCAAATATTTCAGCATCAGTATCCTGAATTTGAACTATTCTCTCCGCTTATATGAACAATGTAAACATTGCAACTTAATAATTTTCAAAACTAATCCTTCTTACGTTAGAAAACAACAAACACTGTCATAACAATAGAGTTTTGAGCAATTTAATACATTTATCGTTTCTTTTAGACAGTGTTTACTACCGCACACTCAACTCAATTAGTATGTACTTTAAAATATTCTTTCACAACACATGTTATACACAATTTAAAATGTAAATAAAAGGCTGGATTCCTCCCTTTGGTTTGTATTAGAAGTTATATCCTAAATTAATCGTATAATCATCTCATATTGTGCTACCTTCCCAGAGTACATTATACCTTGCAGTACTTTTTAGTACTTGGTGAATTCCAATACGTATATCCTAATCCAGCGACTGTAATTTGTACAAAATACATAGATATCCTACAAGAGCTATGGAACTATATTTAAAGGGAGTGTTCACGAAAAATGAAAGGGGGTGCTTACAGCGATAAATAATCGATTTTGATCATTGATTTTCGCCGTAAGTCTATACCCCCTTTCATTTTTCGCGAACGCTCCCTGTGTGAAATGACCTATTTCTTGCTAAATATAAGGGGCTGTGACCATTGGAAGCTTAGCTTGATTCAGTTGATCTTTCTTCAATACTTTCAAGGATTTGACCAATGAATCAAAGTTTCAAGCTAAGAACAATTTGATTCTTGGCATAAGTATTGGATAAAGAAGTATATCGCTATCGTACGGCTATAAACTACTCTTACTGACAGCAGAATTATACTATATTTACCCAGTTTAGTGCACTGGGTACATCATTGTTCTACCAGTACAAATATACTCAATAATTAGGTAACCTAACTACTTTTATCCAGTTTAGTCCACAGGGTACTGGTACATCATTGTCCTACCGGTACAAATATACTCAAGAATTGCAGAGTAACTAAACTACTTTTATCCAGTTTAGTACACAGGGTACATCATTGTTCTACCAGTAAAAATTTACTCAAGAATTACATGGAACCTAGCCTGCTCTTATACAGTTTAGTCCACAGGGTACTGGTACAACATTGTCCTACCGGTACAAATATATTCAAGAATTGCAGAGTAACTAAACTACTTTTATCCAGTTAAGTACACAGGGTACATCATTGTTCTACCAGTACAAATATACTCAAGAATTACTTGGAACCTAGCCTGCTCTTATACAGTTTAGTACACAGGGTACATTATTGTCCTACCAGCACAAATATACTCTAGAATTACAGGGTAAATAAACTGCTCTTATCCAGTTTATATATACATCATTGTTCTACCAATATAAATATACATACTCAAGAATTACAGGGTAACTAGACTACTCTTATCCAATTTAGTACACACCAGTACATCATTGTCCTACCAGTACAAATATGCATTACTTTAGCAGTAAAGGGTAACAACACTGTCCGTTTCTCGGTTAGAACACAGAGCATCATACTCCTACCACAACAATTATACACTATCCGCCAGTACCCAGAGTACATCATTATCATACCAGTACAATTATACCCTACTTCAGCAAGCAATACAAGGATAATTATCCAACCCTTACCCAGTTTTAAACCCAGAGTGCATAATTATCCTACAAGTACAAATAAACACTAATTATCTAGCATTACAAGGGTAATTATAAAATCTTATAAATAGATAAATAAATAAATCTATAATCAGTTTTGTAACCAGAGTACATAATTATCCTACCAGTAGAATTGTACACAACTTAAACCAGCAATACATTATTCGTACCCAAAGCACATAATTATCCTACCAGTTATACACAACTTAAACCAGTAATACCTTTTCGTACCCAGAGTACATAATTATCCTACCAGTTATACACAACTTAAACCAGCAATACCTTTTCGTACCCAGAGTACATAATTATCCAAAAAAAAACTTAAGGAACAGAATAAATAATCTTGTTTTTTTACAACTCTTTCTTTCCTTAAACAAAAGGTGTTGAATCTAGTAACGCATTTAGCCCACTTTCATAATTTGTGGAAAAGAATTAATTTTCATGAAGCATTGTCAAATTTAAATAGAAGCGTCATTGTCACTTCTTGTCAAAGTGATTTTCATACAGAACTGCTAAGTATCGAACAATGCTTAATTTGTTACTTATTGAGAAATCACAATTTTAACAAAAAAAACTGAGTGGCAAATTCTTAAATCAAAACCACCACAGCAACTCAATGATGAAATAATATTTTAAACAGAAATCAGTAGAATTTGTTGTATTTTACATATTTGCTTTTAAACTGATTGATCTGGAGAATTTTCAGATCCAGCAGTAGCTTCATCTGTAGCTTCATCATCAACAGCAGCTACTGCTTCTCCATCTGTTAGGGCAACTGCTTCGGCACCAGCTACAGTAGCATCAGCTTCTGCTACAGAAGCTGCAGCACCTGCTTCGGATGAAGCTTCTGCTCCTGTTACAGAAGCAGCTTCGGCTCCGGACATTGCAGCTGCCTCGGCCCCTGTTGCGACTGCAGCTTCTCCAACTTGTCCGGCAGATTCGGACTGATCAGGTCCACCCTCCTTGTCCGCCTGGGCGGGCTGAGATTTCTCCGCCTCGTCAGAACTATCTGCCATCCCAACAGCATCATCTCCACCAACGGCCCTAGAAAAAGGATGATTATATCACAACAACGAGAGCAATGGTTCGTAATAAAAAAATATTTTTTTGGGCGCCGTGACAAACTCCTGAAAGACAAACTCCGGAAAGACAAACTCCTGAAAAGACAAACTCCAAAAGGATTATTATATCACAACAACGAGAGCAATGGTTCGTAATAAAAAAAAATATTTTTTTGTTTAAATAAAAATTAGTTATATGAGCTGGTAATATGCAGATTAATTTTATCTTTATTGGATATCCCGCATGGTAATCGTACCCAGTCTATGGTTTAAGAGAGATTAAGAATTAATCCTCAAATGAATATTGAGAGAGTGGATATCGAGATCAATCAATCAATCGAGACTACAAGCATCCAACACAAGTTATAGAAAAAAATGGAAATGTACAGATTTGTTGCAAACAAAGGAATTTTTGAGTTTAAATGATCATTTTGTCCCTGACGTCCCCCACCCCCCCCCCACCCCCTTCCTCTAGGGACGGTACCTTGTCTGATGAGAAATTAGACTACTCTCTACACTCTGCTGTTCTTCATTAGCAGCTGATTCACTAGCGTGAGCACTTTCTGCGCTGCTAGGAGCAGTTTCTGCACTGCCAGGAGCTGTTTCCCCGCTAGATGGAGCAGTTTCTAAGTCAGCTCCTGGTTCGGCCATACTAGGCTCAGCTTCAGAATTGGTCTCAAACTGGAACAAGATAAACTGTTTCTACAAATTGAAAGACCAATTTGTTTTGTAATTTAAATTTCGCTCCCTGGACAAATAGATCTCTTATTTTTTTACAGTACATGAAATGTGTATGGTATTGGTATCATTTCTTAATATTTATTTAATTTTTAATCTTGTATTTTCCTTTCTTAGGACTTGGGTCATTCAAAAATGAAATTGATGCATCCAAGTTCAAACAATGAAAAGATTGTTTGCAGTTCTTTATTAAAATAGTTTTCAAATTATGACGGCGATATTTTCGTTAAAACGTGTTCGGTTTGTTTTGTTTGACTCAAACCCTCCTCATCGCTGTGAATTTGAGAAACGTTAAAAAGAAATGTCAGTTTAATTTCTAATGACGCGAAACGGAAAAACCCAATTCACAACGGTACCCTAAAACACCTCGTCTGATCAAGAATAAAATATATATATCAAAGTTTATACATATGCAAGCAAGAAGAATGGCAATATCATCCAAATATTTAATCAGATAAAGGTATCAAGAGTACCGTTGTAAATCGGATTGCCATCTTTGCATGGAGGGTAACGGAAATTAAACTTTCAGTCTCTTTAAATCAATTTTTAAATTAGGGTCATTTATAAATCTTTCGTTTTAAATAAGCATATAAGATGCCCGCAAAAAATTAGCATTGAATTCTTCAAACTGAAGGTTTTGAAGGTTATTAATAATTACACTCTTACATTCAATTTTATCCTGTAAAAGCTAAATCATATATAATGCAGCAAAAAATAAATATACTGCTGCAACGAAACTTATTCAGGAAGGGGTAAATAGATCAAAGGTACATAGATCAAGGGTATATAGATCAAGGGTACATGAAAAAGACATAAAGGGTTTACCTCTGGTACAGTTTGAACTGTGGCGGACTCAGCACTTGTACTAATCTCTTCACCTTCACCGTTTTCTACAATTACAAACCACAATTAGAAATTGGGTTTTTAAAGTTTTGAAGAATTTGAAAATTGGCAAGTTTTACCCAGCTTTTTTGATACTTATCAACCAAAATTTCATTTAAACATTTATTTCCCCAGCTCCGGGTTAAAAAGCAAAACAAAAATGATCCATAGAGGGGAACAAATTTTCGAAGAGCAGGGAAATTATTTTTTTTTACAGAAATATAAACCCTTAAAACTAAATATTACTAGAAACTCGGACGTATCCATATTAGCTGGTAAAATCATTCGTACTTTTTTAAGTTTTGAAAGAGTAAAAAAGAAGAAATATAAAATATGTTATCCTAGAAAATCAGAAAAAACGAGAAAATCCAANGGGGCGTCCCCCTACCTGGAAAACTGGGGGGGACGTCCCCCCTGGAAAATTAAGAGCGCAAGAAGAGAGACCAGACACCTTCTAGCCGTTTAATTTTATTTTTTTAGAATGGATTAAAATAATTTAAATCTTGCTTACACAATTTCCACCTTCCACCCCCAGCCAGTCATTGCTTTGACATAAAATCGACCCAATTCCCTGTAAAAAATCCACGGGAGGGGGAATTTTTTGCCAGGGGAATAACAAATTTCGGCGCGCTGCGCGCTCAATAATTATTTCCCCATCCTCTGGAAAATATCATAAGCCGCCCCTGAAGATAAGTCAGCTTCAATTTCCTCCTCGCAACAAGGGAAAATTGATGAATTCTGTTCCACAAAAGTTTCCGGTATAAGCCGCTGTGTTTCCCTTTGAAGAGAGGAAACACATTACAAGGCGTACTAGTATTGAAACATTAAACATTTTAGAACTATATTTTTGTTTTCAAGGGATTTTCTGATTTGTACTCGAAAAATGCTTCAACTCAGAATTGATTCTGGAAAAGTTAAAATACAGAATCAGAATCAGATTCAGAATAAAGAATCGGAATCGGAATCAGAATCAGATTTAGATTCAAGAATCTAGGGAATTCCCGTGGACTCTTTGATCTTACCGGGTATCAACTAAACGATATAATTTCCAGATTTGCGTTTATTTTTAATGTTTTCTAGGTTTTTCTTCAGATGGACGGATGGGAATTTCAAAAAAAAAAACCTATACCCAGTGTTTTGGATCCGAATACACTTGATCCCGCAAGTGGCAAAAGATCGACCAAAAATAAAATTATTTGGTAAAAGAAATCTTCAATAAATATTTGGATTTCATTTCTCTACATGACGGAAATGGACCTTAAGCACTGTTATAACCTCCTATGAATAAATAATTACAATATCTGAAAGGGACCCAATATAGAACCCCTTGCGATCCATCCGGGCTACAGCACAATATTTAACGCCCGTGCACTAGTAATGCCCTACCTGGACTGCTCTCTAATAGAGTTTGACTACTGGTACATTCTGTATCTATCTCCATATTATCATCTTCTTCATTGGACGCCTAAACAGGAATATAATGCAACAAATAATTAACAAGAAATTCGAGATAAGCAAATACAATTTAAACTTTGAAATTCAAGCATTAAGTTTGATATGCGGGAGAAAGGGGATATAAGTTTACAAGGGGAGATAAAAATAAATTTTTTTCCTTCTTGTCGAAATTGTTTACTTAAAAAATTATCAATTCCCTAAAATTTTGCGAAAAAACCAAAAAAATGTTAGCGCTTCGTGCAAACATGCCTGACATCTGTGAATAAAATTATTTATCAAGAAAATATACACCCCGAAGGGGAAGATCCAACCAAAAAAAATTTAAGAAATAATTCAAGGACTTCCGTCCAGAAGGGGAAGGGAACCTAATGATCGCAATTCAAACATAAGTTTTGACCACAGAATATTAAAACACATGCATGGTTTTAAATGTTTGGACAATACACTTATGAGTTATTTTTTCTTTAATTTTTGAGAAGATCTCAGTGACGGCGGTTTAATTGTGCTAATTGTGCGAGGAAAAAATTCAAGTTTAATTGACCGATTTTGAAAAAGCATGAGAAAGAAATACATTTTAATCTATAATTTTAAGTTCCATTGATTCTCAGAAGTTTTAAATACTTGTAGAAATCTCACCAGTTAACTTGATTGATCTTTACGGAAAAAAGTAAATTTTTTTCCTTAATTTTAGGGCTTGCTCTTTAATGAAAGTAGTTCAATTTTTTCTTGATTTTAGGACTTGATCTTGAAGGAAAAAAGTATTTTTTTTGTTTATTTTCCAATATTTAGATTTATTTTCAGTGCAAATAATATAAAAAAATATTTCTTCAATTCCTACCTGGGGTGTTGAATCTGCTGATACAGAAGCTTCAGGAGCAACCGCCACAGACGAGGATTCCGCTACGGTAGGACTGGAGGCGGCTACAGGTTCGGAGGCAGCTTCCGTATCGAAGAACGTTGCCTGTTTGGAGGCCGCACATTCGTTTTCTGTCGACAATTTCTCCTGAATAGAAATAAAATATTATTAGTTAGTTTTATTTTTTACCTGTGAAGAAAAGATCCCTACCCCCCCCCCCCCCCCCCCCGAAAAAAACTTAAGACATTTTTATAATAAACTAGCCCATCTTTTATTTAAATTGTGAACATGTTCTTTTTGTTTACATTTTAAAACAAAGAAGAAAAAATTTTGCGGATTTTTAAAACAAATTCACGGATTTTCATGAATTTAATTTTTCTTTTACAAAATTAAAACCTTTAAAACACATTTTTTAATTTTTATCATTCATTAACCTTCCCTGTGGTGACAACAAATTTGGACCCGATCGGTTCAGCCGTTTTGAAGTTTATTGGATACAAACAAACAAACAAACAAACAAACAGACAGTCAGAAGGCAATACAATTCATTACACTACCCTTAAAGTAGTGATGAAAAAGGCAGCGTGTAGGAAAGAATTAGTTTTGTTTTTAAACCTTCTGCTGTCTTCAAATTACACTCTGAGGTTAAAAGAACTGAGTACATAAATTCAAGTAACCAATTATTGAAACAGAAGCAAATCCGATTCAGAACGATACTCTTTAATCTTATCTAATTATACCAACGAGGAAGATATGACGTTTTTCAATCTTAATACGTGTATAATTCTCGCTATTCATTGTCTCTGTTACAAATCACAATTACGAATAAACCACTATTAAACAAACAAATTTTCAGCTAGAAAAATAAGAAAATCCTTTTCATCCTCAGACAACGATTTTCGGGGTACTGTTGTAATGGATATGCCACTTTATTAATGGAGGATAACTCTTAATTAAGTCTGCTCTTAACCCGCATGCTTGTAACCGGCCGCATGCTTGTAACCGGCCTCATGCTCTTAGAGGGCCGCATGCTCATCAAAACGTTTTTTTTTAAATCCCCAAATCTCTGTATCTTGGATATTATCACTGCTGGTGTAAAATGTATACCGGAGAGAGGTGGGGTTGAGGATGCGCAGAATCACATGGACCTCCGTCCTCCTCTATATTCAACCTCATCCTCTTAGCAGGGGACTCCAGGTTCTCCCCCAACCTCCGATATCCTAAATAGATCAAAATTCAAGCTTTTTAAGTCATTGCTTGACGCTGGTGCGCAATTATTTCTTTTAAACATTCACCTCAGCGGGCTCTGATAGACTTTTTCTGCATTTAACTTAAATTTTATTTTATTTCTCTTTTCTGATTTTACCGTGAATTTTCAAATCATATAATTTTTATTAACTTTAAAATATTAATATTTGTATAAATAGGTAACAATAGGGCATATACCTGGATTAGCTCCCGGACTTTGGCTACGAATAATACTGGACTCAGCTCCATTATGAGCTCCGGGTAGAGGGGCTGCATCTAGAAATAAAAAAATACATGCAAGTATATACTTTGCTTGTCTGTCTCTCTGTCTGTTTGTACCCAATAAACGTAAAACCGGCTGAACCAATTAGGTCCAAATTTTGTGAAGGACCTCACATGACCCCAGGGAAGGTTTATGGATGGAAAAAATTTCAAAAATTAACCTCCAACAGAAGTCGACTTTCATTAAAATTTGAAATTCTACGATTTTTTTAAATCCGCAAACTTATTTGTTTTTCTTTTACATTGTTTACAAAAAGAAACTGTTCGATTAAAATAGAAGAAAGCCTAGTCGATAAAAATAAGGGAGGTAGATTTTGGAAATTTCATGTTTCATCTTTTAGAAAAGAAAAATAGGTAAACACTGGTAAAAATATTTCAGACGAAACCCCGGTTATAGTGACGATAAAACTCAGGGTGGCCAAAACTTTCTGAGAAAAATCCGTACAAAAAACCGTACATTTTCAGAAAAAAAACCGTACAATCCGTTCATTTATAAAAAGGACATTTAAAAAAATTTACACAATCTGTACATTTCAGAAAAAAATCCGTACAATTCGTCAAAAAAAAATTTAGTTTTTAGAAAAAACATCCAAAATTTTAAAAACATCAAAGCTAAACAAATTTTATTTATCATTTCTATCATCATTCATCTTTCTTTATGTTCGTATGTGAGCAAAGGCTGACCTTACATTGCTTAAAAATTTTTATGAAACAAAAAAGACTGCAAGTTGTGACAAGGATGATAAAGCCGGATAAAAAATAAATCACGATAAAATAAAAAAAAAACAATTTAAAAATCTGCTTTGTTTTCATGTTTTTAGTAATATGTAAGCTAACTTTTTTATTTTCTGAATTGGAATGGGTTTTCATTATTTGTCTTAGCCTAAAACTCAATATTTAGCAATAATGAATAACGCTATGTAATTAAGTAATCCTTCACCTTAAAATTTTGTAAGATTTAAAGTTAGAGTGATTTGTGAAATCTTTATCAACAAACAACAGTGTTCCCAAGAAACATGGCAATTAAGTGATAACTTTGATTTTTAATTTTAAAGATTGAACAACCAAGGAGTATACGAAGGCAGACCACATTTCGGAAAGCTTAAAACATGTACACGTAAATGATGACGACTTCTGAATTTGCATGTTTATTAGGACGTGTATATTGTATAACATGACAAGAAAAGTCCGACTCTTAGTACTTTTTTCTGGTAATTTATCAATTTCAGATAAATCCAAATTTTAAATGAAAAAAAAAATTTCTTACTAAGGAAGCGAGTGCTTTATAAAAAGGAAGAACATTTAAAAATAAGGGAATCCCTATTCCCATTCCGTTCATAATGGACCACAATTCTTCAGTTTAAGTATGCGCTCTTCTTTCTGGGCCTCACACTGTTTATGTTACAATAACTTCTTTGAGTATATGAGATTGCCTGGTGTTTTCAAGTTTAATTTTTCACATTTTATTTTCAGTTGTTCTTAAATTATGACCAAATTTACAAATTTTCTTGAATTAAAAACTGATAATCTGAGGTTTCTTTTTAAGCTAAAATTTTGGATAATCGATAACTTTTTTTGTACAAATAAAATTGGCATTTTTAACAATAAATAAATGAAGTATGGTACCGACATATTTGATGCGAACTTTGTTCATTCGAAAAAATTAACATTTTTTATAAATCGGTACATTCCACAGCTAATGTTTTCATCAAAAATATGTGACCTAAATTTGGTCAAAGAAAAAATTGAGTGGTTGCAACAAAAAAAAACGATATGAGACATAGAAAGAAAAAATTTACACCTGGAAATGACTGAAATTTTAAACGTTTCAATGTTTGATTGTGAAAATTAAACGAAAATTGTTCCCTCATTACCAAATACTACAAAGTTGCTTTTTTTGTGGGAAGATATTCTCAAATGAACACTTTTGGAACATATTTCGAACAGATTAAAGATTGAATTTTGATTGTCAACAATCAACCTAATATAATTCGGAATGAAAATAATAAATTAAACTTCATTTTGACGACTTTTTTATACAAAAATTTTCATAGAAAAATTAGCTTTTTATTAAGTCAAAATCGAAAAAAATAATGTTTTCCGGGCGAAAAATCCTAAAAATCCGTACAATTTGAGACTTAATCCGTAAATTCCGTAAATATTTTTTGGAAAAAATAAAAAATCAGTACAATCCGTACATTTTGGTCACCCTAGTGACGATAAAATTTGAAAAATGCACGAAAGTAAGCAACATTTTTTTGTTTTGAAATATTATAAATGAGTATCAAAACATCTGGTTTGAACACACACAATTCAAAAATGTTGTAGACGTAAAAATCCATTGATAATTAATAATTTTGTCTGAGTTTAAAAATAAACGTTATCAGGCTTCAAAATAAAAACTTTGAAAAAATATCTTCCTTTGTGCGGACCTTTCGTAGAAGGTGTATATTACATTCCCCCCTGGGGAGGGAGGGGGAAATGATTTTTGATGAAAAATTGGTCATCAAAAAGCAACTTTATTTAATATTTTTTGATACTTTTCTCCAAAACATTCATCGATTTCCCCCAACTCTACGAATAAAAGTTAAAACTCTCAAAAAAAATTTTCCTTCGGGCAAACACATATAACTTCCGAGGGAAAAAATTATTTTCTAGAGGCGGAGGGGAGAGAAATTTTTTTAAAAGAAATATACACCCTTGTCGAAATGATAATGTATAATGATATAAGAATACTTTGAAAACTTTTTTGTATATCTTACTGCAGGGGACATTAGACCAAAACTAACCTTGGCCCATTTCTAACACTGAGTGTTAGGAATGGGCACGAACTGAAAGAATGGGTTATTGGGATCCCGACCCATATCCAGAATAAGTCGATTATAAAACTATAACCAACATTTTATTAAACATGACAATTTACAATTTTTAACTTTTTTTAAAATCAAAATTATAATAGGGATTCTTTTATCTCTTGACTGTTTTCAAGACAATGTCAGGTTTTCCATTTTCGAACAAATCCTGAATTTGAAACATTGCATTGTCGTGTTTTCGAGACAACCACCATTTTTCCGTTTTTGAGTATAATCCGCAATTCAAAACAAAACTCACTTTTCATAACTTACAAAATAAATCACTAAAAATCCTAATAATATTTTGTAAGAACAAATGATATTAATATTTTGATTTCTCAATGTTGTAATGATTTTTAAATTATAAAAGAACAATTTGCTTTTATTTTCTATTTTGTTGATATTTTACCTTATCAAAAAATCTTGTTTTGTTACGTAAGTGCCTAAATGCTTGAAAATTGACATTGATTTGAATTCCGGTAATTGTCTCAAAACCAGGATATGTTCCGAAAACGTGACATGAGCTGAAATCTGGTAATTGTTTCAAAAAAGGGATACGTTCGAAAATAAAATCAAGAATCATCAAAAACTTATTCTCACACCTTATTATTAGTTTAAAATTGGCATTTATTGTTTCAATATGTAGGTTTAGCCATTTTTTATAAATTTATGGTGTAATTACGTTCTACTCGTCTTGGATTTAAAGATATATACTCTTAAAAAAGATACCTTTACAGATTTGGCCCATTTCTAACACTTCAGTATTAGAAATGGGCCAAGTGTTAGTTTTGGACCTAATATCCCCTGTACTAGCGATTTTTAAAAAAATTTCCCCCTTGATTTTAGGTAATATTTTTATTCCTTAATGTATGATCTTTGGGTAATTACAGCGAATATATTCAGAATAATAATGGCTACAACAACAATAAAAACAACAACAACTGACCTGGTTCAACTGGTTTAGATTCTGTTGTACTAACAACTAGCATGACACGCTCCAACCCGCGCATAAACTTATCCAGCCTATAACAGAAGGATCCATTTCATTTTATGCGGATCCGGATCCAGGAAGTAATGAGATTCCATTGAAGATTTAATGATTTTGTTATTAAATGAATAAATTTCCTAATTTACTTTTTTTCGCTTAATTTTATGCTGAAACTTAATGAACAAATCAGAGTTAAGATGTATTTAATAATCTTTCATTTGTGAGATTTGTGTTTTAAAAGCAAAAATCTTTCTTGGAGGTTTTGGTGGATATTTCCGCCTTGGATCGAGATCCGGGTAATGGAAGCAATAAGGTTGCGGATCCGGGTATCTGGATAAAGGAAGCAATAAGGTTGCGGATTAAACAGATCTGGATCAATATTTTAGAACAAAGGAAAGTTTTTTTTTCATTGTTTCGAATTCTCGAAAATATTGCATTTGCAAGTTTTTAATAATTAGCTTAATGTCTATGTAAGGAGAGGGAGGGGGGCCATGCGGCCATAAGCCCAGCAGTATCCTGTTCGAACCCATGTAGTTACTAAAACCCTGCCGAACCCCACGGAATCCAAGCAAAAGACTGCTCAAGAAAAAAAAAATTGACTTTAAAAAGGAAAAAATCCCTTGGCATAAGAATAAAATTTGATGCATTAAATTAATTATAATTATGATATTTATAATTCTTTTATAATTCATAACATACTTTCTACGCATCTTTTTTCTCGAATGATAAAAAATATTTTGAAAAATACATTTATTTGCAAGATTTTACATATCACCACTTAATCACTGTAGTCATTCCAACTAAAGAATTTGTTAAATCTAAGAAGATACAATTTTAGTCTAAAAAAGAGTTTTAAAGCATCGATTTTTATTTTTAAGCTTAGGAGTATGTAACCTACGTTTTCATTTTTGAATTTTTCTTTTTAAAGTCAATTATCAATAACAGTTCTTTTTTTAGCAGTATTTTGCTGGACTCGAAAAGGATTCCGCGGGGTTTGGGCAGGGTTCTGCTAACTACCTGGGTTCGAACAGGATATTGCTGGGCTTACGGTTGCATGCCCCCCCCCTCGTATATGTAAAGCAAGCCACTTAAAAATAATAGTTTCTTTAAGATTAAGACACGGGGGGGGGGGGTGACAAATACGAAAACAGTTTTTAAGTTTACCCCTTTTTTAACCAAAAGATTAATTCTACACCTTTATTACGGAGGAAAAAAAATATTGTGCTTCTATCAAATTTTTCTTGAGGGAAATTTTGTAGAAGGTGTAGATAACTTTATAAAGGAAATGCAAATCCCAGAATTTGAAAAATTGTTACCGTTTGTAATTCTTCATAGGTTCTGTTATAAGCTCGCACAATCTCTGGATCGTGAAGGGTATTCCATCATAGGACTCGAGCTGCTCGAATATTCGAATCTTCATCTCATCGAATTTGAAAACCTCGACGTTCGGCATGACGGGAATGGTGGCCGGCGGGGTGGCCGTGGCGAACTCGACAATAACATTTTCTAATTTGATTTTAAACAGAGGTTTAATTTTGTTCCAGGGGTAGAGGGTGAACCCTGTTTTGGCGATCTGGACCAAATACTCTTCTGCATTATACATTCAGTTAAACTAGAGATTTGAAAGTAATATTCTTAGCAGGAGCTCTGATAATAATATTAACTATAGAACATGTTAAAATCGTGGATTGCAAAAAAACACTAGATAGGGTTGAGACTTTTCTAAAAGGCCACTTACAGGGGGGACATTTTTACTTGGATTAATGATAGATGAAAAGGCAATTGTTCCTATTTTTTTTAAATATCAAATAACAATGAATCCTTTAACGCACCCGTAAAATTGTATACAAGTGAGTATATGAGATTGCCTGG